GCCAAAATGCTGAATCACCTATAGGCAGCACCAGTGTTATGTTCTAGCTATATGCTTTACCGTAAAATACCAATTCTGCCTGACGGGGAATTATTCGCTCTGGCAGGGAGCAGCTAGTAACCCAGAACCAATTTTTTTAACGTTCACTTTTGTTCCTGTTAAGACCTGATTAACAATAAAAACACGGGAAATTTTTCATTAATTTGTTTTAAATTAACAAAAACGTAGCTTTTAAAATATTTAATATATACATGTACTTTCATATATGTATGTATGTATAACGGACCACAAGTGTCAAGTGTTAATACCTGTTTTATCTGATTTAAAAAAAAAACTGTTTCTAACAATAATCTTCGAAACTTGGGGTAAATTACAATATTATTGTTATGGAACTTGTACACGTAAAATACGGCCAGGGAGATAGCTAATTATTATAAAAACTTAAACGCCACACATGGTTTAACATTTTCTTCTTAAAGTGGGCGTTAAAGGAATAAATAAATAAATTACTAGTTACAGAAATGAGGTGAAGCGACGAATATGAAAAAACTTATATTTAGTTTTTGCAACAGGGTTTCTGAAATCAAAGTGATTTTTTTTGTAATGCTACTAATATGTTGAAATATTTTTACTTAATATGATCTACAAAAAAAAGGACTAGCGGTGAGACTTGTCTTTACGCAAAGCTACACAATATCCTGCCACTGATCCCGAATTTTATTGTAAGTTCCTAAACTTATGGCTGACTCACTAGGGGTACAGCAGTTAAACAATTACTTAAATATCTTAATATCTGTTAGTTGCTGTTGTTTTTAAAATATAAATATGGCAGTACCTCTTCTGATTTAAGTGGGCCTACAAAACCCATCTGATTTCCCTATTTCATTAAACTCGTGGTATATATTTGGTACAACAGTGAAACAATTACTTAAATATCTTAGTATCTGTTAGTTGTTGTTGTTTATAAAATATAAATACGGCAGTACCTCTTCTGATTTAAGTGGGCCTACAAAACCCAACTGATTTCCCTAGTTCACTAAACTCGTGGTATATATTTAACATTAAATAAAATTTAAACACGACTGTACTTACTCGTGTTGTTAAAATACAACAACAGTTACATAGTCTTATTGCCTTTAAAGGAGTTCAAATATAAGATCTGCTTTTAATCCTTTTTTTTTATCTGACATAAGTAGTAACATGGAATATCGAAATTGATTTTGAACACTTAGCTATATTTGGATTTCCCATTTCTCTATTCTCATTACTCAGACGTACTATTTCCCTATAAATATTAATTCCACTATCTCTGAGAGCACGTGCTGAATAAGAAAACAGCCATACGACTCAAGTTTCCTTCCATGAACTCGATATTGACGTCATCACGAGGACAAAAGTTTTTAAATAAATGGTGTAACTAAAGACAGCGTGCAACAGATTATGTTCAAGTGTACTAAAACCCAAGTTGTTGTGATGCAAGACATACTAAACTGTATTATGCAATGGCATTTATTGATCCGTGGTTTGTGGCTTGTTACATACAAACAATCAATTCCGCTTGTTTGTTTTCTTTTTGAATTTCGCGCAAAGCTACACGAGGGCTAACTGCGCTAGCCGGCCCTTAATTTAGCAGTGTAAGACTAGAGGGAAGGCAACTAGTCATCACCACCTACCGCCAACTCTTGGGCTACTCTTTTACCAACGAATAGTGGAATTGACCGTCACATTATAACGCCCCCACGGCTGGAAGGGCGAGTATGTTTGGTGGGACGGGGATTCGAACCTGCAGATTGCGAGTCGAGCCCTCTAACCACCTGGCCATGCCGGGCTATATATTCCGCATTTTATGACTATGGGCGCATTATAGCAATGGTAAAGCTCTGGACTTACCGAAGCTGGCAAGCCGAATTATAATACATGTAATATCACAAAATATTCCCCGTAGTTTAAGCCTTAGGTGCGTTATAAGAGTGACGGTCACTCCCTTAGCTAGTCATTAGTTCAAAACGAGAGACGGCGGAATATAGCCATAGTAGCTCAGCCATAAATGCCAAGTGGTTAATATTCTACATATATTCATCGAAAATTAAATTACTTTTAGACTGTATGTCACTATACGTCCTTAAACTATACTCATGTGGTTCATAGTAATTAAGGTATAACTTGAGGATTTATGCATTCTACGAATTCTATCTTTATAAATATTTGTTGTATTTAGAGAAAATCGAAAATGGCGCTCACAAAGATTGTTTTTGTTTTGTTTGTTTGTTTTTTAATTTCG